CTTCATTCTCTTTCAGCAACAGAACATATTTTCTTTCCATTGTCTTTTTTCTTGGAAGCCGTCCATTGCCAGCATCACAGCCATCAGCTACAAGAGCAAGAAGGCAGCTTCCAACAGGCAGGGCTGGTTCTTAGCCGGTCAGTTGTCATGTTCAGGCAACCTTTTGACAATCCAAAGGGCTTTTCCTTAAGGTTCAAGTAAATCAAAAAGTAGCTCCCCACCACACCAGCTCTTTTCACCATCAAGTAATCAGTAGCCACTGCATACTTAGAACCTCTTCTGTGTCTGGCAGTGGTGGGCCATAAACTGGGAGGTGCCAGTAGAACACAGTTCAGTTGCAGCACGTGTTTGATCTCAATATCTATGTGTGGGTGCCATGACTTAAAAGACTGAAGCATTTATAATAGCTTGGAAGAGGGGTCAATGGAAAAGCAACACTGCCCTAGAAAGTAGACATTTGAACCATGCCCTAGAAAGTAGACATTTGAAGGGGCAAGGGTTCCTTGGGACACAAAGACTGTAAGTCTTACTTCTTCACAAGTGAAAATGTCTCTAAGTTGACGAACAGAAGTTGGCTGTGCTCCATCAGGGATGGGAGGGGAAATGTCTCTAAATGACAGCAAGAAAACTTTAAACTGAACTTAAGAAGTTCCTGATGGTTTGGATTGTGACCCAGAAAACATACTGCAGACATGGCCTTTGGAAACTCCTTCTCTGGAGAATTTAAAGGAAAGGGTGGACAGCTGTTCTCGGATGCTTTTGGCATGGTTCCTCTGGGAGGTAGGACCGGCCTGCCCTAAGATCACTTGAGGTCCCACTCCTGCTTCAGGATCATGTAACATTTTATTTCATCTACTGTGGATCAACACAAAAGACCTGTGGTGAACAGTACAGGATGGAAAACTTGGGGCCAGCTGGTTTCTGGGGTTAGAGAGGAGAAGGGGAACCAGTCTTAGTCCAGAGAACATCTTTACTGCCCTCATGCCAAACATACTTCTTTCTGAGTCTTGGGATGGCCTTCCTGGGTTATTGGTGGTCTTTCTATCCTTTTTCTTTCCAAGTAAAATAAAGGCAAGCACAGGAGGCAGCGTGTAGAGTGATATTAATAGTAATAATAACTTTCCTGAGCTCCTACTGTGTCCTTGTTACTGTGCAAAGCACTTCACCTAGCTCATGCCATTTACCCTTCCCACAGCTCGATGCAGTAACACTGTCTTTGCATCCATTTTACAGATGGAAAGGTTGAGGCTTTAAAAGGTTAGTGAGTTAGGTCGGGAGTCCATCCCAGATGAGAAGCCATGCTCTGGCAGGTTTACTCAGTCCAATCAGGGTTCAGATCCTACATCACTTCAATTCTCCAAGCCCCAGTTTCTTTCTGGTGAAAATGGAGAAAATGGTATTTATTTTGCAAGACTAGATTTCACAGGGAAGGTGACATTAGGTGAGGTAGGTAAAGCCTGTATACCAACTCTCAGGAGCAGCAGGTGTTCAGCAAGTTATTTCCTTTCCCCCTGCTCTTCCTCTCCCTTCCGTGGGCTTCTCCTGGTCTGAGTCAATTCTTTCATGATGTCCCTGGTTCTAATCAGGCCTCTCTCAGTGACAGGGGCTTTGCAGGCTCAGCGTCTCTCTGACTGATGTCTACTGCTAATTCCTTAAATTTACATATCATCTTTCTTCCCTGGAGCTCATAGCACTTAACAGACAAGTGGGGCACAAATGATTTAACGAAGTGAAATCCAGAGGCCTGCTCGTCTGGAGATTCTGCAAACTAGTGGATTAGCTCAGATGTCAGCACTGAATTATGATCCTTCAGCTGCTCGTGCTAAGCATGCCACTAGCATTAACTCCCTGGTCTTGCAATGGTCCCTTAAATCATGCATAGAGATTGTCATTTTATTGTGAGAGGGAGAAAGGAGAGGAGAAGGAAGAGGAGGGCAGGGGGGCTACCTGGGGGTTACTGGAAGGGGCAGACCATGAAACCTTTGACCTGGCTGTGTCTGGAATTTTACTAACAGGGTGGATGCATAGAACAGACCCAAATACAGTCCATTCAGCACAGTTCTTCCCGCCTCCACACACATTTTACTCACCAAATTCTAACCATGATGCCGTGATTTCCCTGTCATTTAAGAATGTAAATTCACACAAGTGGCAGTATTTCTGCCAAGCAATTTTCAGGCAGCAAGTGGGTCTTATTTGCGAAACTGTGAAGGAAGAAGGCTGAATAATAAATCTCTAAAATCTGGTTTCCTTTATATGTAAGGTGGCAACAGTAAGGGCTTGGAGATTAGCGGGAGCTTGGGAGCATTTGAGGGGTTCTCGCTGGTGTCTCAATACACTGAGTGCTTCCACAAGCCACCTTGTCATTACTGGTGCACCTCACCTTTGAAAGGGGCTGTTGGCTTGGGAGGGTGGAGGGAATTGTGAAGGGATTATATCTGAGGGATTATGAGAAGCTAGCTGATTCTCCCGTCCTTATTTGCAATGGATAGCCTCATATCATTCTTTAACCATGTATTTGTCATTCTTCATTCATTCATTCATAGAAACAAAATTTTCTTGAGGAGTGGCATATATATAGCACTATCTAGGGGTAGAGAGAAGAAGCAATATTAAACCTGATTTACAATAGGTTACAATAGGTAAGACCAGGATTTACAATATAACTGGGGTGATAAACAAAGACACACCAAAAAAACAGCTAAATTATGATGCCAGGCAGTGAGTGATTACCTACTGAAATCCATGGAAAATGGCCTGAAGTTCTTTTAAAAACAAGGTAAAGTCAGCAGTACAGTCAGTAAATGCTAGAGTTGTTGAGAAAAGAAGGGGATTAATGTTGTGTGTGCCAGAATAGTTAGGAGAAGAGCTAGCAAAAGAGACAGGATGGGTGGAGTGGTTGGGGAGTGGAAAATTACAGCTAAGAGGTGCGGATGCAGCAATGGGCCCAGTAGGAAAGCCAGTTTGCCTCAAACAGAGTGTGATTGATTGCAAGGACTTGGGGCAAGCTACCTGCAGAGCAGCTGAAATAAAGAACTTATTGCATGAAGCTGGAAAACCTGCAGTCAGGTCTGGGCTCTGTCACTGAAGTCGCCTCCCTACCTTGGAAAAATCACATTAACCTTTCTGAGCCTGATTCTTCATCATGTGCAAGGTAAGGTTAGTAAGTCCCAGCTCACAAGAATATAGAAAGATGAAATGAAATACTGCTTGTCAATGTGCTTGTAACAGGTAAAGCATTATGCAAGAATGAGCTTTAATTATTATCATTAACAGCAGCAGTAATAAGATCTGATAGGGAAAGCATAGGTTTAGAAGATCTTTGAAGGTCTGATTTGGCATCAGTGTATCCTCCCTCAGCAGACACCATCACTAATTCTCTTCTGTAGACAGCTGCCTTTTAGTTATCTGTGCTGATTTTGGCCTTGCAGAGGTCACACCTTATGGGGTATGTAGACAGACATAGCTTTGGATGGTTGAGGAAGCACAAACTGCGTTCCCACATATGCATAGCAAACTAGTCTCATTTGACTTCAGGGGAGCATAGCTTCTAAAGCACTAATCCCAGAAAGTCTAACAGGAAGGGGCTTAGGGGATCAGGGAGGCAGGCAAGGCAGCTGGGGAGCCAAGGAGGAAGGAACTGTTTCTGGGCCACTGATGGGAGGTCCAGCACAGGCTGCTCTCACCTAGAAAGGTGATGTCAGCAGGATTAACAACAGCAAAGCAGCGGTCCAGGGACTATTGCATTGATTCAAGACTCTGGAATCCTTGCCCATCTACCCTGACAAGTCCAGGATGTTCATAGTCCCCGTGGAGTAAGAAAGCTCTGTGCACCTGTCTCAGGTTAACATGACCTCACACTAACGTGATCCTAAGGCATCTGACATGCCCACATTCCATGCTGTGTATGTGGTAGAAAAGTGACCCTGCCATCTTGCAGAAGTATTCAGCATAAGATGCCCCTATGTTTCAGGGCCAAAAAGAGGTACTGAGATTTCCTCACCAAATGCCACCTTGTTCTCTGTACAAGTGGCCAGAACAGTCCTGTATAAGTTGGATTTGAAGGTGCAGGTCCCCACACCTGTGTCTGCAAGGCATGTGGTCTGCCAACAGCAAGAAGAACTCGGTCTTCCACATGAGTATCTGATGAATTTGAAACCAATCAGCCAAAAAGACCATTTTCCAAACATTTGGATTGGTAAACCCTTAATTTCCTAAAACACATATATTCTCTGCTAAATACATAGCCTTTGTTAATAATAATGACAGCACCTTTATCATTGAAGCCATATGTGCCTGGCTGTCTGAGAAAGGCCAGGTTCAAGTCTGCCTGCATCACCCCTTTCAGCTCCCAACCTCTGTTCTGCTTGAAGGTGACACTGGGCTTCTGAGTCACCGTCACTAGAGCCCAGGCATCATCTAGCAGCACTGATGGAGACAGAAGGTTTTAAATGTCTGCCATTTGGACAGCGCCCAGCCAAGATGGCCAGGGCTAGAAGCATCAACCACCTGGTCATAGTCACCCTCCAACCTAGCAGCCACCTCACCCCCTATAATCTGTCCCCTTGTAATGCAGTTCATCAGATTGCACTGGCCCTTTGGGTGAGCTAGTGGTGAATAAGATGTGGGTCTGACCTCTTGGAATCTAGAGGGAGAAGAAGGGCACACACATACCACCAACCAACCAACCAAGACGTAAGGCGACCTTGCCAGGTGCTCCATGTGAAAGAGATGGAAAGGAAATGATACTGAGAAATAGGCAGGAGGGACCAATTTGACTTAGAGGCTCAAAAAAGGGCTTCAAGAAGACACAGCATTTGAATCAAGGCTCTAAAGAAGCCTTAAGAAAGGGACACAGAGCCTCGGGAACAAGGACATGAATAAACCAAAAGACACTGAAACTCCAGTCCCAACTAGCCCCTGGAGAGAGCACAGCAGCACACTGGTGTCTTTCCCAAGTGTTTATTCGAGAACCTCTGTTTGGGTTTGTTTCCCCCCAGATGACAGGAATTTCTTGCGGCTGCAGAGTGACAGCCAGAGAGAGGGCCAGTATGCGCGGCTCATCAGCCCCCCAGTCCACCTGCCCCAGAGCCCGGTGTGCATGGAGTTCCAGTACCAGGCCACGGGCGGCCGCGGGGTGGCGCTGCAGGTGGTGCGGGAAGCCAGCCAGGAGAGCAAGCTGCTGTGGGTCATCCGCGAGGACCAGGGCGGCGAGTGGAAGCACGGGAGGATCATCCTGCCCAGCTACGACATGGAGTACCAGGTGGGGTGAGCCAGAGGGGAATCTTGTGATCCGTATTTCAGTATTTCAAAGGGCCGAGCCCATTCATCATTAGGGAACGTGGTTAAGCGCTACTGTTTTCATTGTGTTTCTCGCGTTGCCATGGCAACTGAATGACACTCTTATTTGTTATTCAGAATATGCCTATCTCTACACCCAGACTTGGTTCTTTGTTCCTCCTGTTGCCTTTTATATTGCTGAAATCTTCAACAAATGTTTCTCCTCTCCATTTTATTTTAGATTGCTATCAGGTAGGCTGACAAGGGACACAGAAGCCAGGGAAACAAACACAAACCCTCCACACACAAGGAAAGAGGCCTGTGGAGCCCCTTCAGATCTGGGGAGGAAACAGGATAATCTCCCAGACCTGTTCCAGGGAGCGTGAACACAGGAAGGGGAGCGGGTGCTGTTCGTGCTCAGTGGCCGGCAGACGTGAGAGGCTCCCGAATGAGTGCTCTCTCTCTCTCACCAGCTCCAGGGATGGAGTTCTGTTATCTCTGCCCCACAGAGCAGGAGACTGAGGCACAGATGGGTACATTCAGCTGTGGCTGCAACTTGGGTAGGAGTAGACACACTGTGGAAGAGGTGACTGAGAACCAGCCAAAGCATTAACCTTCTCCTTCCCAGACGAGGAGCAGCAACAGATGGCTGGTGAGGCAGCCAACTGCTCACCCAGCTTGCCAGAGGACATGTGCTAGTTAGCAGAGAGGAACCCGGGGAGGGTGAGCATGAGGAATGACTGAAGACCACAGAGCTGAGGGGCTTCTGTGCAAAGCCTGCAGTCCCTGTCTCTTGAGGCAGCAAGGCGTCCTGAGACCCTCCAATCTGGGTTCCCACTTACTCACCTGAGTGCATTGTATTGTAACTACCTGTTTGCATTTGTGTCTCAACCAGTAGATGGATGAGCTTCTCTGGACAGAGAACTTGTCTTAACAGGTTTTGTTACTATCCTTGTGTCCAGCGCATAGTAGGTGCTCAATAAACAGCTGGTGAAAAAACAAATTATTTTCCTACTAGTTGTAATAATGAAGCTGTAAGGCAACTTAGAATAGGGAGCATAAATCCAAGCCTATGTGCTGTATTTCTCACATTACCCCCACTTATTTGTGTCTTCTGAGTTTCCAATACCTGCATTGGGCATTTGAAAGATTTATGAGACAGGAACCTCAAAAATAGCAAGGGAAATTTCAACCCCTCTTTCAATATTCTCTGACTATGGTCCTTTTAATCAATACATTCTAGTTACTGGACAACAATATCCACCCACTTGTTATATTTTCTTATTCCCTCAAATATGCATTTGATTTGAACAAACTCATTTTAAATTAAGATTTCAAGAGCTGTAGCCATGTGGTCAACAGATGTGTACCAGGTGCAATACACACACACACACATACACACTTTAAGCTGCAGCTAACAGAAAATTGGAAATCTTTGCACTGTTTGGACTAGGAGACTCAGTTAACCATGGCTCTTATTCTTCTGGCTTCTAGATTGTGTTCGAGGGAGTGATAGGGAAAGGACGATCGGGAGAGATTGCCATTGATGACATTCGGATAAGCACTGATGTCCCACTGGAGAGCTGCATGGGTATGTGAATATCTGTGTCTTCGTGGCTCTTTCAAATAAGACACCAAGGGCTGGGATAAGCAAGAGGAGGCAGCACACTATCTTCAAATGCGGTTATTACCGAGTGGGTGGGGCAGCAACAGTCTATGCAGGAGGTAAGGTGTGGGTGTAGTTGTGTCTTGGGCTGTGTTCAGGGTGGGAGGGGTGTGAGATGAGGGGAAGGCTTATATCCCTATTCCCAATCAGAAATGGACATGCACTAAGTACATGGAGGTTCAGGGTGCCAAGACCCCATCAGCAAACCCCAGCTTTTAGCAAAGAAAATGCTAGAGGACGAGAGCAACTGCCAGTCAAAATTATATGCTGGAAAGATTTGATGGATTTAATGGAAGCCTTCACTGGTGGGCAAAAATGGTGCATATGTTATATAAGAGTGATAACACAATTATCCAAGTAGCTCTTTTACATGAATGAATTGCAGAGCAAACTGTGGCATTTGAAGTAAGGTTTCAGATTTTTCTTTAAAACGAGTAGCTCTAATGCCCAGGATCCCAAAGTTGTTGTAGGATAGACGTTGTAGGTATAGTCCAGGTGACTGTCACGAGAAGGATGTCATAACTGTCATCTTGGTCAAAAGTACCTGAACAGCCAGCCCACCTGAGATGCACCCATTTTCTTCAGGGTCTCCTGCTTCAGAGGAGGTCACCTGAAGTGCACGCTGACTGTGTCCCTTCAGGGCCATGGACATTCCCCAAACCAAGAGGGGAACCCTGAGAAGGAATGGGGACTGCTTTCAGTCAGCAGAGTGGCTGCAGTAACTCACCAACTGCTTTTCTTGGCACACGAGTCCGGGTGTGTGTGTGCTTGATGATGTCAGAAGCACCTGGGACCACCCCAGTCCCTTTGGGCAACTCTCAGGTCCCGGGCATCTAAAAGTAAGCCAGCCTCTGAGAAAGTAATCAGCAGTAAGTGACTGATTACAATGCTTTAGGGACCCATTTCTCTATGAAGGACTTTTTGTTCCAAAGCAACTTTGAGAATCCCCTCCCCACCACCACCCCATGATGATGATGTGTTAGACCCAGCCCAGAACACGTGGAAGATGTGGGCACTTTCCATGGAGAGGTACAAAAAAACTCAGTGCAGTCATCCTCGTCATCATATGCAACCAATTATTCAACCTGTGTTCACCTATTTATTCCCTTTAACTAAGTCCAATTTTTTGTCTATTTTTTTTCAGAACCCATCTCAGCTTTTGCAGGTGAGAATTTTAAAGGTAAAAGAAAATATTTTTTTGCATGCCTTTTCCTTCCCCCATGTGATGTGAATTTGGTGGGGGAAATCAACCTCCAAATTTGTCAAATCTTCAAAGAGAAAAGAGACGCCACACCTTCCTGCCACTAGATGGCACTAGCAACAGCTGTAGCTGTGGGGAAGGGGATTAAGATCCTCACTGCCTCTTGTTTAATTAAAGTTTAGAAACCTATTAATAGAGACAAATAGGTTACAGATGGACCTTTCAGCCTTGCATTGTCCAACGTGGAGCAATGAGGCTGAAAATGCAGGAGTGGTGAGGAAGGAGGAACTGTGGGAATAATGAACCCAAAAAAATCAGTATAAATTCAAAGTGAACTGAGGTGACAATGATTTGTTTTAGCCTGAAGATGGCTTCTTTCCAGTTCCAAGGTACTAAGGCAGCAGTCTCAGTTAACCCTCAGTGAGGGACAGTGGCAGGCAGCTTGTGAGGGAAGGAACTTAGGGAAGAGACACAGGAGTGGTGGCCTGAGGAGGAAGAGTTGCCAGATTTAGGACCGGGTATCCAGTCAAGGGAATAAGGAGGTACATTCCATGACTGGGGCTAAAGGACTTTAAATGCAGGACTGGAAATCAGAAGGACGTCTTCTCCCCAAGAAAGCAAAGAGAGAGCAGAGCAAAGTAAGAAGAATTGGGGATGCTTGCCTCACCCAGGTTTTAAAAAAAAAAAAAGGCCTCCATCCAACCTTGGGTGATGGCAATGTCATTTGAGCTTTATAATGCAGCTGGCTGTATATTTTGCCCTCTTTGCAATCCTATTAGCTGACACTGCTGAAGTTTCCATACTGGTTTCTAATGCCAAACATTTAGGAGTCCCTCTAAATACTTCACTGCGGTTGGCCTGAGTGTAAAAGCAAACACAGAAACACTCATCCTCACCAAGTGATGGGGGCTCTTCATGACCTGTTTGATGCCAGCAATTGTGAGGATGGCTGTGCCCTGTTTTAACTGGCTGGGCTTAACCCTACAAGTGGCAGCACTGCAGAGATAAGGGCAGACATTTTTATATCTGACGTCTAGACTCGTTATCTTCACTCTCATTAATCTGTCCAGCTCCGGGCTAGAGAGAGATGAATTCCTGGTTTGCCACCTAGATGTGCTCCCTGACTCCAAATCATCCCACCCAATTTGCCACTCATCAGCTCTAAGACAGCCAGTGAGGAACAAAGCTGCAGACGCCAGGGGAATGGCAAACCGACCTAGAGGACATTTCCTTTCTTGCCCTTCCTTGAGTCCCTGAACCCCTTGCCCACTCCCTGCTCCACAGTTCTAAAAGTATTAAGAGTATTCATGTACATACACTGCTGCTCTCTGGGGGTGAGATTTACGTTCACGTAAATCCAAAGTATTGGAAAGAAAGCTGAGAGCCAAACCGAACGACTTGGATTACAGTTGAATTCGAGTTCTAACCTTCGGGACCCAAGGTAATGCTTACGTTGATGAAGTGAAATCTGTGGACGTTGTTTCACCTGACTGTCTTTGGGTTGTGGCGACTCACAGTTCCCAGAAAGGCTGGGTAAAGACGTGCCAGCAGCTGCTGCAGACTGTGCTGTGTGCACATCGTGTCGGGTCGTGATTGACAAGTACACTGGCTAAGTGCTTCACTTTTGTAAGAGAATAACCAGACCAGGGCACGTGCACTCTCCTTGAAGCTGTGCTCACCATGAGGCTTCACAGGCCCGTCATGCTCTCTCGTAAAAAATACATACATAAAACCTCATCTGAGCGGCAGTGCTCATTTAGCCAAAATAAACACAGAGCTTAGTGACTTGAAGGTAAGAATTTCCAGGGTGCTCCTGGTGGGCTGCTTTGAGGCTAAGCAAAGGCAGTGCACGAGTTGCATGGATTGGGCCATGGCTTTCGTCTTGGAGGATGGCAGGCATCTTTGGGAAGAAGAACCCAAGTCCCAAGGAGCAGAGGCGTGGCCGATGGACATAGTAAAGAGCAGAATCAGAATCGGGAATGGAGAATTTCATTCACCTCGGCACATTTGACATAGAGATCTGAATTGGTAGCCAGATGAACCTAGTGCCATGAGTCTCCCCTTTCTGGCTGAGACCCATTTGACCCCAGCATGCAACTCTGTGCCTTGAGCAAACTTTTCTGTTTGAGAGAGGAGAGAGGACTGTGTGTTCCCTCTAACCCAGTGACTCATATACTGTTCTTCTTATGGTCAGGACAGCAAGAGTCATCTCTTGGTCAGGGCATAAAAGCAGTCTTTTAACTCAAAAACAATGGAAACAGAGAAATCTGGTTTGGGCAGGCAAGGTATGGAAAGCTGATGTTGAAACGCTACCAACCATAGACATTTACATTGTTAGTACGTTTTTTAAATTGGAGCGTTTATCTTTTCCCTTATAAATGAATCATGCAACAGGAAGTAATCTCATTCTTTAGGATCAAACAATGTATGGATAAATCTTTAGGGAAATACAATGAAAGTGGCCTTTGGACCTGTAGTTATTAGCTGGTCTTGATCTTTTGTATTTTGAAGTATCTTTCATTTTACATCTCTTACCGATTTCTTGCCATGCAATATTTTTTTTAAATTCAGATCATCCTGTGATTTCTGCTTAGTGTATATAAACATACATTGTGTAGCAGGGTGTGAGTCAGTAATGAAGAAAAGCCTGGGAGGAAAAGAGGGCTGTGTTGAGAAGGGAGAAAGAGAAGAGAGAATGAATAAACTGTGTTGTCATGTGATTTTTTTAAAAAGACCCTTTTTTGTGGTTGTTATGAGTCACATTTTAAACAATGTAGCCTGGGTGTGCATTCTTCTCCTTTCTTTTCTTTTTTAAAGCAGTGGCTATAAACATGGTGCCGTCATGTATCTTTTCTAGGATTTGAGCTTTAGCAAACGAAAAACCATGTGTATACAGGGGGAAAAAGAACCGAAACGTGGTGCAATTAAGGTGATGGATTATTTCCTCTCACCCAATACTTTCTTTTTTCTTTTTAAAGAAGCCAGTTAAAAATATATAAAGCCCATAATCAGAGTTCTGGGGTTGTTGACCAGGTGGTTATTTTTAACAGCTCACCTTGGAGGCAAGAGCTTTTGTTTGTGTTAGCTGGGCTGTGGGCTTTGAGCGAAGCAGGGGCAGAGAGCCTGTCTGGTGCCCTACTTGTTAGAGACTCACGGAAATCCCAGCAGGGTGCACCTGTGGAAGGTGGTTGTCAGAGGGAAGGATTCGGAATGGCTGTCTTACGCTAGTGGATGCTAACAGGGACATCGGTGTCTCCTGTTTCGGCTGGGAATGTGGGGTTTATGACTCAGACCATTCCTGAGGTCCAGGGGCCCCATTTCTTGGGTTTCCCCAGGTGCCTTTCTGCAGTCCTCCACAGTTCTCATCCAGACAAAACCAGGAGACAGTGCATATCCACAGCTGTCTCTTGGGCATAGAGGGGAGCAGTATGAAGAGAGGCCCATTTCGAGGTCATGCTGATTGGCATTTGACTCCATTCCTCCAGCTTTACATTCCGTTTCTTTGGGGCCAAGTGAGCAATCTCTGCATCTTGCACCCCCATCTCTCCTTTCCCATTCCCACCCTCACCCTCCATTGCCTGCCTTCCAAGGCTTTGTCCGGCAGGATAATGTCCCCTATCCCAGGGCCTGGCCTCAGATTCCCTTTCTCCTTGGACTCCCTTCCTCCCACGCCTCCTTCTCCTGGAAGCCCTTCTGAGACACAGAGAGGGTTAAATGGTGCTTTTGCACATGATCCTCTGATGCAAGGCAGAGAAGTATTCCTCACCCCGTCAGGGTTCCAGATAGGCAGCTGTAGTGTGTGAATCCTCCTCCTTGCCCCACCCCCTTATGTCTCCAGCTGCCAGATGAAGGCTAGGTGTTGCTGAGCGAGAAAGCATGGAGATCAGATGTGTGAAGCGGGTAACTGCTTGGCTGCCATCCTTGCCTGGGGGACACGGGGGTGTTCTTTGTGTGGTTCGCTGGAGCACGCCGCCTCTCCTGCCATGGAGACCTGACACGTCCCCCCTCCCTCAGTTTACCACTCATGTAAACAACTGCTGAGGTCAGCTTATCTAGGGGTGGAAGAAAATGTTTTTCACCAACTTTTCTCTCCAAGAACACAAGGGACAAGACTTAGTTTACCGAAAGTAGCATAAGTACACCAAAGAGTATGAAGCGTCTGAGACTTCAGCCAGTCAGAGATCTGAATTCGGAGGCATTTAAAAATGCCTCTAGATGTGGGAGAAATCCACATGGTTTCTGCCGACTTACTGAAAACATTCCGGTGCCTCCCGCCACACCATGCTCAGAAGGCAGATGGAAAGAGTCGTTTCTCAGTGAGGCCTCTGTGCTTGCGCCTCTTTTTTCCAAACACATCAGAGGGCGTGAGCACATTCTTCTACTATCTTCTGTAAACTTCTCTAGAGGAGCCAACCTTTTTTTGTTTGTTTAATCTCACAAATTAAATAAACCTTTTATCTGAAATGTTCCTTCACCAGCACTTCATTTTTAACCTGTACAGAAAGGACTGTGCGGACGGGCCAGTCCTGAAACAATTCTGGCAAGCAATGAGCCTTTTTTTTGAAAGAAAGAGAGAAGGCTCACCCTGGGTGTCTTTCAAAACACTTCTTTTGGAAACCCAGGTGCCTCCTCCAGGTCCAGACAACATTTCATAAATGCAGCTATAGTAGATGCTTTCTCATTTCAGTGACTCGGTGAGAAACTGACTTGACTGAGACACACCAATCTTTAGACAGGTTCAGACAGAAATAGAGAGCAGAAAGGAAGAGGACTGCTTCCTCTTCCCCCCCTACTTGGTTAGAGCAAGGACTCTGCAAACTTGTTCTGTAAAAGGCCATGTAGTAAGTATCTTGGGTTTTACTGGACATGCAGTCTCTGCTGCAAGGACTCAGCTCTGCCAATGCGGCATAAAAGCATCCATAAGCAATACGTAAACAAATGAGGGCAGCTGTGTTCCAACAAAACTTGATTTATGCAAGCAGGCAGTGGGCTGGATGTGGCCCACAGGCCAGAGTGAGCTGATCCCTGGGTTCGAGCACAGGCTGGGGTTTCGTCCACCGGGTTCCAGCCGTGACTCTGCCACTTGCTGGCAGTGTACGGCTCCTCAGAGGACCCTGAGCCATCTCTTGAGTTTCGCTGAGTGCTGCTCTGCTCTTCTCCACAGTTATCCTCCAGGTGAAACCAGGAGAAAATCACTTGTCCTCTGAAGCCCTCAGGTCTCCCATCAGAGGGTCACAGGAATAAACAAAATGATTCATGTGAAGCCCGTAGACCAATGGTCGACACATAGGAAATGTCCACTCACAGTTACTGTTCTTACACACACGTTTCCCAATTGCATATTAATTCAGTAACCCTATTTGCAGCTAGGAATGGCAGGAACACCACCTCATGTGTAATTGTTTGTCTTATTTTCTTCCATGAGTGGTTTCTCAAACTCTGTTGTTTCTCAAAATTCAAATTCTTGGTGTTTGCAATGCTTTTCTCTAGGGGGCTCAGAACTTTTACAGATGGGAGCCTGTGCAACCTTGCAAATATACTTGGAGTTGAGTTATTGACTATTTAAATATCTGTTTCTCATTATCTCACACAATGGGAAAACTTTGTAGAGAATTTGGGGTGGGAATTAATGAAAAATATTTCAGGAGTTGAAAGCATTTTTCAGTTGAAAAAAGACACATGAGTAAGCGGCAGAAATTAGATCAGTCAAAGGGAAAATTCAGGTCAGCAGATCAACCAACTCCAGGCAAGGCTGAGTTCTCACCTACACTTTCACCCACCTATCCCAGGCTCCTTTAATGTCAAGCAATGGCTCGATCACCCCAGATGGCTCAAGGGGCAAGGGAAGCTAAATTTGCACAGCTCAACAATTTGGGCATCTGGTACAGGTAACACCTGCCTAAAGTGGGTACCTCTTTCTAATTTCCCATAGAGGTGCCATATGAGCTAGCAGAATCTCTAGCACTTTCTGAAAATAACTTTCCAAGGAAGGACCAGTAGGTCATCAACATTTTCCAGGGAGTCTGAACATTGATCCAAATATATTCCTCTATCCCATTCGTCCATTTATCCATCCACCTATCCATTCATCTGTCCATCTGGCATTCACTGGATTGCTGCTGTTGCCTGGGAAGGTGCTTTGGGTGGGGATATAACCCCTACTGATTGATCATTTTCCTTCTCTCTAGTTGGCAAACCACAGCCTCATTAGCATACAGCTCTCGGAGGCTAGAAAAGAGCCAGATTCTAAACCAGCACACTCCACCTGCCTTTGGAGATGAGTCTCTTTAGTTGGGGGCTAGGAGAAACTCCTGGCCCCCAACTGCAATCAACCAAGAATTGCTTGTAGGAGATCAGGAAAGGGTTGCCAGTTGTATCCTCTCTTTTCTAACACTATTTCTAACCTCTTAACATTAAAAGTGTGAATTCACGCAGTACTGTTTTTCATTTCTCCAAAGAAATGCCCAAAGAAGCTGTTTAAGGAGCCAGTAATAATGTCCTCCAAATAGCTCTGTCACTAAAGTTTTCTACATGTTGATAATTTCAGGGGAGAGAAGCACAGGTAGAAAAGGGGAAGAGGGTCTTACCTAAGGCGAAGTTTGTCTTTCAGAGTAGAGCAGGATTCTGAGGGCCTATGTCTGTGTCTCTGATTCTAAATATGTAATCCACGTATTAGGATTTCACCTTCCTCCAGCAGGCCCCCTAGAGTCTCTCCACTGTGCCCCAACGCTGTCTCTGTTGTGAGATACACTGTAAGACGAGCAGTAAGGCTTTATCCTTCTCCAGCCCGAGCACTTTAAGCATGGGTGGTGTATTTTGTGTTGGAAACCAGCATTTTGGCTGAAGGAAAGCAAACCTTTAAATGGAGACGGTGTAGTGATGGAGGGAACGTGGGTAGTTGTGGCCATATTCTGCTTGACAAAAATTTGTGTCCCACCTTTGTGGTCTGGTCAGGTACTTCAGAGGGAAAGCTAATCCCTGGGGATTTATCACCTTCCTTTTCTTGATGGGTGAGCTGCAGCCTCATTAGAGGACAGCCCTCCCTATGGAGCCACCTGAAAATCAGAGGCAAACTCGAGCACACCCTTTGGGGAGAGGAGGGATGTCTCTGAGAAACTCCGGGCACATCCCCGAACACTTTGCTGTTTCCTGTCCGTTTCTGTGAGCTCACATTGAGAATCCAACAGCAGGATGGTTGCCAGGCAGCAGATCCTCTTGGTGACCTGAATAATGAGTTGACACCAGTTCACTGTGACTTGCAAGCTGGCCATTTCAAGGAGCCATTTCCAATGCCTTGCCTTCTCTTCCTTTCTGATTGTATGTATAATTTCCACCATGGCCACAAATATGAGAGAGAGAGAGAGAGGCCTTTCTCAGCTATAGTAATGAAATTAGTAAAAGACAGAAGTCGTTTAGGGATAAAGACAAAGAGTGTAGGTAATAAGGTGGAAGAAGATGAAGATGTAGAAAGAAGCACTAAGGGGTTACTGGGATTCTGGGGTCCTTTCTACCCCAGGGGATGTGGATGTGGCTGTCAAGATGTGTGCAGAGCAACACATCCTTGTCAAAGCTCTACCAATGTTGTGGGACCTCTGGTCACCCAAAAGGTACCAGTGAACCCCACCCTGGTGGAGGGGAATTCCTACAGCAGGAGAAAGCAGTGATTAAGAGCTAGGAAGTTCAGCAGGCTTTGAAATATTTCCAAGAAAAGTGTTCTCATTTTTCTATCATCACCTGTAGAAGACATTAGAAGGTCTGACTCACCTCTCACCTATTCCCCAAATCAAAGAGAGGAGTTCTGATGCTCAGGCTGCAGACATTAGAGAACACCGACTCAGAAATAGGAGTCTTAGCCTCAGTTCAGTGTTTGATTCACCAGGCATTTATTGAGTGCCTTCTTTGTGTAAACCCTTAGGTATGGATGAGGGCAAGTTCCTCATGATGAGAGTGAGTTCCTCTGCTTAAGGAGCTCTGCATCTCAGGGTGGGTAGTGGAAGGAGGCTTGAAAATATAAATGAGCCCCATCTGCATCTTGAACAGAGGGGGACCACCCTCTGCTCACAGAGTAGAGTAGGACCACCAATGCATGAAGGAGGCAGCAGCACTTCCCACCCCTGGCTCTCCTCCTGGGGCACTGCATGAGTTGAGGATGCATCTTTCTGGCTTAATGCAAGCAGCTAGGGAGGCATTTTTCATAGGAGAAGCATGCATCATTTTTCAGAAGTAAAGATCATGTCTGGTTTTGGCAAGCTCAAAAGCTCCTAGTCCCTTTCTGGGCCAGATTCTCATCTGATGTAAATCTTTGGGAGAATCAAGTTGTAACACTGCTTTGCATCAAGTGGGACTCCAGCCAGTCTTTCCCCAGAGTTACCCTGGGCTTAAATCTACTATATCATCTCCATGGCAACCAGCGGCGGCCAGTGAACGTGGTTGCCTTCTAAATAGTCTGCCAGCCTCTCTTCCCTGCCCTGTATTTTCCGTGATTAAGAATGATCTCCCTCTCTCTCCCTCACTCTCTCACTTACTCTCGCTTCCACATACCCTCTGTCATTTTGTGCCCACGTTTTTTGTTGCAACTTCCCTTGTCATCTGCTTTTAAAAATCCTCCATCCAATTAAAAAAAACGAGGATGAGTTAGTCATGACTTCACAGTGGTGACCGACCTGTTTAGGCAAGACGAGGCTAATTTCAATGGGTGCAGAAGCATTGGCAAGTAACGTGGAATTTACCTTCAAGTCTAGCCAGCCTAATTAATACGTTGTTGCTGAGAATGCTGGCCAGCCAGACCGAATATGGTGTTTCCACCATTCGGGAAATCTGCCTCACTGAATCCCAGAAGTCACGCCAGCATCATTTACTTGTATGTATTTGTGTATGTGTATGTGTGTGTATGAGAGAGAGAGGGAGATGGAGGAAGAGAGAACTATGACGTTTCCATATATTATAAAGTAATTGTGGTCAAACAATAAGAAGAGAGTTGTAATCATACCGTTCTTGGTTGAATCCCATACTTACTATTTAGCTGTATAACCCCTTAATTTAACCTCTCTCTGCCTCTGTTTCCTCATCTGAAAAATGGGTCTGACAGTAGCTACCTCTCAAGGGGTTACATAGGAAATAATGCAATCGTTGAGAAGTGCTTGGCAGGTTCTAAGGACTACCTTAGTCCCTCATCCCCTTCCCTGTCCGTCCCAAAGCATGTGTGTGTGTCTTTCTTTTTTGTTGTTGGTTTTTTTTTTTTTTGGTCTTTTGATTAGTCTGCATGCTCTCAGCCTAGCAACACTCTTCTGTGTCTCTCCACCAGGGGGCACCCTCCTGCCAGGGACCGAGCCCACAGTGGACACGGTGCCCGTGCAGCCCATCCCAGCCTACTGGTATTACGTAATGGCCGCCGGGGGCGCCGTGCTGGTGCTGGTCTCCGTCGCGCTTGCCCTGGTGCTCCACTACCACCGGTTCCGCTATGCGGCCAAGAAGACCGATCACTCCATCACCTACAAATCCTCCCACTACACCAACGGGGCCCCTCTCGCGGTGGAGCCCACCCTAACCATTAAGCTAGAGCAAGACCGTGGTGGCTCGCACTGCTGAGGGCCGAAGCAAGAACAGCACCCAAAACAAACAAGAAAGACTGCAAACACGTTGCCTCGATTTTGCACTTTTTTCTCCTCGCCTAGTCTCTGTGTGAACTTTCAGACATCTCTCGCGCGTCCCCAACCCTGAGCACTCTTATCCATCCCAACCATCCTCCTTGGGTTCATTTTGGTTTCTGGTTTTTCCTTTTTGTTGATTCCAAACCAACAAACCCAACTCTAATGCTGCATCTTGGAATATCAGAAGAGATCCACTCCCAAGCACTCCACAACTCAAGGCTCAGCTGGTTTTGTTCCAGAGACTGGTTCACTTGTTTTTTCCCCTTGCCTTATCCCATACCTCCTCTCAGAGGGCAGCCTGCCAGGAGACTTGAGGGGAAGCCTGGATCTGTGTGTATGTACATAGTAGACATGTGCGCGTGTGAATAGTTCTCTGTGGGTGTGGGGATGTGTGTGGGGGGCTGGTTGATTGTGTGTTGGGGGTGGTGAGTGTTCAGAGAGGGCCCCTTTAACTCTTGTGTTACTTCTCCTGCGGTACATTTTACAAGAAAATAATATGCTGTGTAAGTTTTGTTTACTTGGAGAAGAGATTGAAGCTTTTTGTTGCCTTATCTAGCCCTGGCTGGGTTTCTGTTGGCTGCCACTGTCATCTCCAGGTACCTAAAGAAATAGAGGCCACATGGGATGCCATGTGGCCTGTCTCATCCCTACTCCCCAACCCCAACCCACCTGACCCAAGAGGAAGGTTCCCCTAGCGCACTCAGACAAGGCTTCCTTGTCTTCTTGTGTCTTTGAATTGTCAAGATAGCAGCCACGGGCGCATGCGGAACCACCTCTCCAGCCCTGAAGCAAGTCTGTCTCATGTTGCCTTATAAAAGAGAAGCTCATAATGAATGTTTAGCTTTTATCAGTTAAGTCCAATCTTGGAATAAGTCATATGGAATAACAAGTCTGAGACTGATGTAGGAAAAGCAGTAGTCTAAGTTGAGAGCAGGAGGAGGTAGACGAGAGAAGGGAGAAGGAAGAACTGAAAAGCTGTCTCCCCACCCAGGGTGGTTATTGGTCCCAACTTGGGATGGGGTTGAGTAAGAAACTTAGAAACCATATACTTTGGTGTTATATTGGTCATTGTTATAGAGTTGTAAACTATGGGGGGGGAGGATCATTTGCTTTCCTTTCATGGTGTTAATGTGTGCCTGAATCTATAGCCACTAAAATGTAAGGCTGTCTACCTGACTTATTTAAATATGATGAGAGAATAGAAAGTGATCATTTGTTAAGTAATCATTGGTAATCAATGTGCTGCCCTTTAAAGCATTCATGGCATCTGGCAAATAGACCCTCGTAGGCTGGCCCAGCATATCCAGATGTTGCTGCATCATCACAGAGAAGGTCTAATGAAGACGTAACCGTTGCTGCTCACGTGTCCTCTCTAAGCAACATGGGGAGCGGGATGTAAGAGAGAAGTTGCTAATGACACCATGCAAAAGACGGATTAAATAATAAAGTCAATTTCATTGATAGAAAATGCAAATTTTAAGATTCTCCGTGTACGAGGACCCAGCCTCAGGAGCATTTATTTTTTACCTTCCTGCTAAAAATCCACTGGGGAGGTATAAAATTCACTCCAAAGAAGTTTGCCTGGGCCAGAAGCCTCCAGGTTCCTTCTGCAAACAAAATACTAATGATTTTTTTTTTTTTTTTTTTTGGCTACTTGGGAGAGAGACTTTCAGCATTCTTTCACGATATTCAGATAGGTCCCTCCAGCGCACACACACAACTTTCGCATCTGGTTCGTTTCATCCTCCTGAAAGAACAGTGCTCTCCCACTCTTATTCTATTTCAAAGAGCTACTCTGTCAACCACAGCAGCCCTGCCAAGAAAAGACAAGATGAAAGGCTAGAGCATGTGCTACCTTGAGATTTCAAGAAGTGTCCTACCTCAGCTGAAGACGGAGAAAGAAACAGGGAGGGCAAAGTGGATCAGAAGCCCAGGGTACCATGTAATGACTCATATGCCAGTCACGAAGGGCTTTTATCTCGGCTGTCCACATCCAGTCATGCGTTTGGGGCCAGGCATTCCCGCAAAATGATTGACATTCCCGTAGGTGCCCCACAGAGGTGTGGCGTCAAGAAATTACACCTGGAAAATCCAGCCAGTGTAGTGACCGGCTGAGTTACCATATACCCTGGGGATTCCCCTGTCTGTAAAAGAAGATGACTACAACTTTGTGAACTTGCTGTATCTTTATCTGATGCCCCAAGTGGCATCATCTTTATGTACATGCCTTAGTTGAGAATATGAGACGGCTCTAATCTTTGTGACTCCCTTCACACTTCGGCTGAGGATGTCACATTCTCTGTCTCTCCCCAGCCCGCAACATCTGCCCTTGATCTGTCTACTCCAGCAATTTTCATAGTGTTATCCAGGTACTATACCAAAAGGTCAGCTCTTCTGTAAAATGCCATGCTTCGCAGCTTTAAAAAGCAAAATTCTGTATTTCATGGAGGGAGGGAAGGGTCACTCTCTTCTAGGAAAAATAGACTGGAAAGGCAAATGCATGCATGCATGTGTTTGGAGTTGCTCTCAGAAGACAGAGATGATAGCAACTATAAAAAATGAATGAATGAATGAATGAGTTGAAGGCCTAGCTTGGGCTGATAAAGTTTTTGCCTTAGCAGAGGTTTTATGTCAACACCTTCAGGAGGAAAGCCCTTATCCCTGGGTTGCAATCCCCTTCCTCGGCATTATGCTAGCAAATTGCCATCACCTAGTTGCTGGCAAAGGCAGAAAAAGAAAACAAAAAAATCAGCATTGTCATTGACAAACTGGATGCTGAAGATAAAGTAAAATTGTCTTTTCCCTTGTCCCACATTTTTGGGATTAAAGCCAGAATTGAATAGGAAATACAGTAATATTTCTGAGGTTGATAGCCTATCTTTAAGAAGACCCTGTCTTTAAAATGAAACTAGCAGGCAAACACCTAAATAATCAAAAATTACCAAAGAACAACAATGAAACAAGAAAACCTAAAGGTTTTTACTTCCTATTCCTATTCCTCTCCTTATTACTGTGACACCCATTGCGTTGCTCAGTTGCCTGTGTGTCAAGATAACTCGTGGACATTGGAAATTATTTGAAAATGTATTGTGTGGAATGTAATAAAATGATGATATTTTTATACAAACATCTGGGGTTTTTTTTCCCTTTGCCTGTGAGAACAAAGTTGAAATGTAGGCTTTGAGCAAACCGATGCTTCCAAAGTTTACACATCACCTTCAGGGCATTTCTGTGGGTGGTAGGTGGGTTTTCTCCTTGAGGCTGAATGCCAACTTTTCCTTCTTTTTATTTTTATTACTGCTTGTTAGGATTTTATCCAATTTGTGCAGCTGAGACAACTTTTATGATTGGTGTGGGATTTTGCAAAAGTTGCTAAGTGCTAAATTGCTAAATGAGATTCCACAAAATTTCTCTTGATGACAAATCCCTGGAGATTAGATTCTACTTTCAAAGGGCTCCGAGGGAGTGGTACCAGCTAAGCTGAATCCTGTGCTCAGCTCTGTGGAGACAGATCACTTCCTTTGAAGAAGCAGCCGTGACATCTTACCCCTCACCTACCCAATTACTACATCCACAGGGACGTGAATCTCCCATTTACCAGCGCTTTCCCAGACAAAAGGGAACTTGTAGCATGTTCAGAGCTGAAAGATATTCTAGCCTTTATTTTTGAACAGGTAATGAAGATAATTAGATGATGACTGTGGACATGGAACTATCAGAGTGGAACATTTTATAAAAGGAACACTGTAAAACTTTGAGTCGAGGTGCTTGGGGAAACTTACTCAAAAAGTCATGTCTTTCTTGATAAGTGTTTTTCTTTGGCCTCTTTGGATAGTGACCTAGTTATATAAAGTATTTCTATCAGAGGGGGACTGGGCTGAGCAAGGTGGGGGAAAATCTAGGAAAGACAACCTCCCAGCAGTTCATGGTTTCTAGACAGTGGTCAGAAGAGGTCACAGTAATCCTATTTGCAGATAGGATTTCCCACCACCCCCACTCATGGGATGTATCGGAGGTCTTCTGACAACCTGGGAGCCCTCCTCAGGGGTCCGAGAACCATCCTTAAAGGTCCTGAGAAAATGTGCATGTTCAGAAGATCCTATTTCTGCCAGAGCCCTGCTTGTCTTCCTATCCAAACCTAGATTCAGGAAGGAGTGCTTTTCACAGCTGTAAAACCTGTCCAAGTGCTGCTAAAAGGAGACAGGCTTCCAGTTTTTAGATCTTATTGGAAGTTCTGTTAGTACAGATGGTTCAGTATAGATGTCACTGTCTGTCCTTTGCAGGAGTGCAGGAGAATAAAGTAGAATGTGATCAGAGCATTTTTTGTTTCCCCAATGACAAGCTCAATTACCCCTTTTGTCTAAATAACATTTGGCTTTCCTTAACGCCATTTGTTCCCATTAGTAAAGAATGAAGTGAAAACAAAAGTGTTTTGTTCAAAAGTGTTTACTTCAAACAACACGACCCAGGCTCAGTCAACATTTCCTTGAGCTGACCTGGGACCCAGCTTGCCAGACTGAACTATGTTAGTCCTCACCTATGCTTCGTTAGCATTACTGTTTTGGAGCCACCTCTGGGAATTTTCCCACCTTGGTTCTAGTCCCAATACTTATTTTAAGGGTACTGACTCCCCCTAAAAGGGCAAGACCGTTAGGACTCCAGTCTTAGATGTCAAACACGACACTGTTACCGCCGAAGACTCCTCAGCGTGGCAGTTCGGAGGTAGCCCAAGTATAAATGTTCAGAAATTGTTTCCATGGATCGTAAATACCAGATGTCAAGGCCTAGGCTGGTCTGTTTCTGCTCCTACCTGGTCCTTTATGATGGTTTAAGTGTGTGTTCTTGCTTCACCCACTGCCCTCCTAGCTTAGATAATCAAAGCCCAGCCAAGCTGATGTAGCTCAGTGTTTGTTTTCCTTGCCCCTCTTCACTGCCTCGGCAGTTGTTTTGCACAATGTGGTCTTCCTGTAATCTCTGATGAAAACAGCTACATCCTGAAGTTCTGATTTGCCTGCATTGTGGGCTATGCATCTGAGCCAAACTGCAGACCTATAGGTGAAGACTTGTTTTTCCCTCTAATTGTGCAGATCGCTGGAGCCCTCACAGCTGTAATTTGCCTTTCATCCACTTTAGTGGCAGCCCAAAGAAAACACAAAACAAACCCAACCAGAGAAAAAGGCGGGGAGAGGGGAACACCAGTGATGATCTTATAATCAGCAGGGAAAGGAATCGCCTTATATAAATAAATTAATAGCTGGGAATAGTGTAGGATTTAATTAAGCCAAACATAGATCAGGTGCACAGAGTATTTATAGAGGTCAGATATGATCAGAAACCCACACCCTTAGGGTTCCTCAGGCCACAAGCCTGGGCCAGAGTACATTTGCCCTGACTGCTTGGAGGTGTTGTTTGAACCCTAACCTAAACACTGAGAGACAAGATTTGGGAAATCGCCAACGTCAAAACCTTATTTAGCATGGTATGGAAGAGTGGAGAATCTAGGTGCTTCAGCACAACGAAGCAGAAGCCATTCTTGCCCCAAGCCCAGTGGATAAGAAACCTAGAAGCATCTCCTCTATTCTGTGTAAAACAGTTGTTGGCCTTTTCTGTCACTTACCTCCGAGAGCCCCCTAGAACTAAAGTCCTGTGGGCATCGGACCAAGAAATAGAAAAGACCATTTGGAGAGTCAACAACAGAGGTATGGAGGGAGGACTGAGTGTTACATGAGAAAACCTCTTGGAGTTTCATTTCTGCTTGAGAGCTTATTGATACTGATGATACACGGAGGTTGCTGGTGGGAGACTTTTAGGATAGTAACTGGCTGGGTTTCTTTAACTCACAAGTTAAACATGCTCAAAAAGTGCAATAATAAAGAAAAAGCAAAAGTTCATTTCATTGTTGACCAATATCAGCCTCTTCCCCAGAGGTAAGCACAAGGGATAGTTTGAGGAATGTGTTTCCAGGCCTTGTTTTATACCTTTACAAACATGTATGTTCACGTTGAGTTATGTGGTTTGGTTAAGCTGGGGTTTAGTTTGGTTCGTTTGGTTTTGTGTAAATGGTAGCATAGCGTTTGCTTACTGTATTGGATGACTTGCTTCTTTTCATTTGACATCTTGAGGGTAATTCCGTACATACCAATGCTTCAACCCCATCCTTTTTATCTGCAGCATAGCATTCCATATTGTGTTGATATGCCAGAGTGTATTAACTGCTCCATTGCTGATGAGTATTCAGATTGTTTCTAGGTTTTTTTTACTATTATAAACAATACTGCGATGAATATCCTTGAAATTGCTTCTTTGGGCACACATTTTTCAAAGGATACAATTTCTGGGTCAAACACATACCTGTTTTCAATTTAGTAGGTGCTGTGAATGGCTGAGGTTTGTCGTTTAAAATGAACCTGTTCTTGCTTGAGAGCATAGTGGAAGCTAATGGACATCCTGGCTGTAGAACCCCTGCCACATTAGCTCAACCCATGGGGTCTCTATGCCTATCCCTCTTTCTCTACAGTGGGTGTGCTGCTCACAAAAGACCTTGGGCACTTTTAGCTGAAGGGAATTTTAAACTCAGGAAGCGTTTCTTCAGAACTTTTTAACTGCCAGCTTATGAGGAATATGGGCCTGGCTCTAAGTGGCAGCTCCCCAGAGCTGTGGCGGCTGTGTCACTGGAGTTAATTCTATCCCTGGGTTCAGGAGGCAGAGTCCATTTCTCCATGATTAATGAGTTCCACTTGGTTTCTTCAAAGAGTGACTGTGCTGTGCCTTGCTGTTATTTATTTATGTTTTCTACTAAAAAATTTATGTAAAAAACATCCTTTAAGGTCAGTATGCAGCACTGTGCTGCAGACTAAACTATTCCAGCAGCCAAAGGTAAACCTACACACCAAGAAAAAGTCTCAAATTTGGGAGGCCTTGGACCCCAGGCCCCCACTCTGGCCCTGAGAGAAGCAGAACCTGTGGACATCCTTCTGAGGAAGTTCACGGCTGCAGTACCCAAAGAAAAGGCACTAGGAGTGAGGTGGTTTTCCAGTGGGATGTTTATAGGCATGGGCAAAGCTACTAGCCCCACAGGGGCCAGGACTAAGGAATGGCAGGTGGAGGAGAAGCCCAGAGATCTGTCAGTCTAAACACCATTTCTAGCAAAAGCACTGCCCCCATTTCTACGATGTGCTGAGAAAAAGGGATCATAATAAAGTGACTTTGACTTTGAGTGTCTGTGGCTATATATGTCCTGTGTGGGCTTTCTCTGGCCTGTCTATTGCCTCCTGGGCATGGGGCAAGAGTATTTAACTCAGGCAAGAAAGCAGCATGAATTGACGTCTGGATAAACTAGAGTACATCTGTCTCTCACTCTCTCTCTGTCTCTCTCTCTCTCTCTCTGACACACACACACACACAGTGCCTTGTTTTGTCTTCTCTGTGTAATTGTGCAAAATTAAATCCTTTAACTGTCATGAACATTCCCCAAAACAAAGGCTCTGCTCCAGAATCGGAATGATAATAGACCATGCCATGGCTTTCAGCAATACCAGTTTCTTTATCCGGCAGCAGGACTCATTAACAGGATGCCTGAACTGGACTTCCCTGCAACTTATTAAAGAGCAGCCAGCTCCAGTAATTATGGGCATGCAGAGAGCCTCGAGCCAGAGGTGGCCTTGACCAAAGTCCCAGTCTCCAAAGCCTGCTAGTTATTGAAGCTTCATCTAAGCATAAGGAACCTTTTTGTCTCTTTGTGTTTTCTCACTGCCACCCAGGACCTGTGAGAAGGGCATGAGGATTTCAGGGGCTGGTGTGAGCCTTCCAATGACATCTCTAGGGCAGCCCCCATCTGGCATTGAGAGCGAGATGGTAGTCATTAGGACCTAGATGGGGCCAACATGGGCATGTCAAAAGAGCCCCAGAGATGCCTCATCCACCTTGGCCAACTGTGGCTCAAGAGTGAGTCCCATAGCAATATTTACAGGGGCCCTGGACCCACAAGCCCATCACTGCTTTCTGGCTCTGCACCTCCTGCTAGGGCCACGGTCTCCACTTCCTCCTCTGTAGGAGGAGTTGGTCACCACCCATCTGCCTTTGTGCCAGGTGTAGTTTGTCTCCAACCTCCAAACCCCTTTCTGCACC